CTACGTTCCATACAATTAGCTTCCACTATCCATCTCGAAATCTTTACAACATTCTATAATACGTACCGGCGAAATGGATAACAACATCCGGCGGCCCAGGAACCTTATCATCTTCATAGCCCGCCATGTTGAGCTGCGAAGTCAAGGCATTGAAAACCTGACCAGAATCCGTGAGATCCGTCTTCAGGGTGTACACATCTACTGAAGGGTCGGGGAAGGGGATGAGGTCTAGGTTGAGGACCCTGTGGCCGTGGGCTAGGAGGTATGGGATTACGTATCGGCCGGCTTTCCCTGAACCGCCTGTGAAGACCTGGGAGTATGTTAGAGAAGATTCAGAGGATGTGGAGATGAGTGATGAGGGGGCATAGGGTGGAGTTATACGATTCGCTTTCCGCTTGATGAAGTCATCGTGGATATTCTGAGGCCTCTGAAATGCAGTTTGTGAGACGGAGCCTTCCTCAAGGTTTAATGTAAAAGAAAATATTGTTATAAGAGTGGGAGGAGGGAAGTTTATAAACTAAACATTTTGTACTAATTGTTGCATTTAACCGGTCGTGAAGATCGTCGCGAGTGTGTATTACGTCAGGATTCTAGCTGGCAACCGGTTCATAGGCGCGCATATGCTACCTGTCATATTTGACAGTTTATCATTTATCGTCCACTTCAGCTGTCTTAGGTATGTTGAGCATCTGCCTCAAATTCCATTTTGAGGAAGCACATATATCTTAGATTGTGCATTGCAGGTGATATTGATTGACGTTTTGAAAGATAGCTACAAGGGCCACCAACAACTAAAAAGGAAGAATGCCAACTACATCCGGGCTTTTTCTGGCGCCCACTTGTAAAATAGGTTTCTCTGTGAAACTGGAAGGACAATCAGTGAGTTTATAGATAGTTACGATAATTGAGATTAGGATAGGCCACAATTAGTAGTTGCCTGGAAACTCACGTGTGCCGACAGGAAAAAGAGGACGTCATTTTCTAAAGAATCAAAAGCATGAGGGGACATTCAAAATCAAAGAACGAAATGGGGAATCTATTAAACCAACCAAACCAACCTATCCCATTGTACACCTACCCAACTACCCATTCGGCAAAATAAACCCCAGGTTCTCCCTTCTATCATCTACAATCCTCCCCCATTCTAACAACAACCGAAACATGTAAACCTCCATATCCACCTTCCCCAACACCCTCCCTGCCCACTGTCTCCCCTCTCCAGCAATCCGCTCAGCCTCCACATCATGATGCCCCTCTCTCTCCTTCCCTACTCCTCCAAAGAACGCCAGCATCCCCCACACATCGTGCAACCTCGGATCTACTGGTACGAAATGCTTCCACGCAGTTAGTCTTTCATCAAACCACTGCCGAAAAGACGCAGCGCGGAAGACCAGACTTTCACTCTGCAAAAATGGTAGAAAACGCCCGCTGAAACCGGCGCCGTCGAGGTCGAAGAGGTATTTGTACTGCCAGTGCTCTTGGAAGTCCATTTGAGAAGCCCAGTTGAATTCCGCATTTTGTATCGGGCAGTCGAGACCCCGGCAGCGGACGGGCTCGCCGACAAAGGCGACGCTGATGTTGATTGCGTCTTGGAGTTGGGAGAGGGGCACGGAGTGGTGGCTGTAGCCGTGGGTTTGGCCTGGGCTGAGGAGGAGATCGAGGGCTCGGGATTTGGGGGTGAAGTTTACGAGGTGGACGAAGCGTTGGCGTTGCATTCCTTCCCATGTACCATGAACCGACATTCCTTCCGAAGTGGCGCCTCGCCAGAAGAGTGTATTGTCCTTCCTAGAGAAGGTGAAATCTTGGCTGGCGTCGTAGGTGACTTTATCCTGGTAGTTCCACGGGGAGGGAAAGATGATATCAGCATATGTTGGGACTTTGGACTGAGAGAAAATCGGGAAGAGCTTGGTGGTGGGCTTGAAAGCTGCGGGTGAAAGATGGACTCCATGGAGGTTTTGGAGGTCTGGTTGATGGCATAGAGAGCCAGAAAGCGTCCAATTGCTCACGAATCCACCAAGCGAGTGAGGTGCAGCGCATGAAGAACAGAAAGATTGCTGATTCCAACGTGTCTGTATTCGAGCAGGAGAATCGGGCGGGCATCCAATAGAACCAAAGTCTTTGAAAGAGGGTCGAAAAGAGGAGCCGAAAAAGAACTCTGCGGGTATCTCATTGTTAGGCTGGAAGTCTTCCCTCCATATTGTATCCTCTCCACCCCAAACAATGTTATCGCTGAAGGACCCGAGGTTCTTGCTCTGACTTAGCTGCTGCCGGGCAATTCCTGCATCCTGCAAATGCTTCTCCATGTCAGGCCATGGAACTGTTACGCGGCTCTCATCGTTAATGTTGAACGCTATATCCATGTCCGGAAGCCACTGTGAAAACTGGTTTATCATGAAGGTCGCTCCTTCGACCATCCATCTATGTGTAGGGGGCATGTGGGGTCCTATAGAAGTTGTCCCATTCGCAATTCGTACGGAGCCTATATCTGTCCAAGGTCTCTCCATCATATGAGATGTCATTTCTCGTATTACTTTAGGTTCTAGTCCCCAGAAAGGTAGCAGGTCGTCGTTTATTTGTGCAAAGTCATCTATGATGATTGAACCCCGGGAAGTGGCGTATTCATACCATATATCGAATTTGGGCGGAGGGGGGATACCATATCGAGACTGATACTCTGAGACTGCTTGATCCAACGATTTGCTCGTAGTTGCCTGGCTTAGCCATTGGTGAGAACTCTGATCCGCATTGGCGATGAGTTTCTCGATAGGATGTGACTCCCACCGATTCGGGCTAGAGTAGTGTATGAACTGCATACCAAAGAAGAAAACACAGCTCATACAGATGAATATGATCATTAGTCCTTTCGAAGAGCTTTGGCCCAAAGAATAGCTACGTTGTGACCAAGATGCATCCCGTTCAAGCCGGAGGAGAGCAGCTACTGAAACATAGGCGGTAGCGCATAATATTATGATTAGAGCAGACGGCCTTGGCGCATAGTCTGCTAGTCTTGATGGCGGGAAATGAGATGTGTAGACAGACACACAGCTTATCAAGGTGAAAATTGTTCTAGGGCGGAGATCGCTCAAGAGGTAAATCGTTGAAGCGAGACAGTTCGTGTATAAAAGACTATACAAAAGTAGCTCTATGACGGCGTTCCGGGGCGGACGCAATGACCAAGTTATATTTTCTAGGTTCCAGAAAGAAGTTGATGCAAGAAGAGCGATAACCAAGGCGGACGCAAGGGCAACTCGACTAAGCAACACCCACGGTCTTCTAATCGTCTCTGCTTCCTTCAATACCCTCGAAGCAGTAATGATTACGGTAGAGTCGAGGAGTAGGCGTAAACATTGACAGAATCGTACCGCTATGCCTAATTTCCAGGCTAGTGGGCAGATATATGTCGAACTTTGCGCTGAGAAAGTGACCACCCCAGTTGCTGACAAGACCCAGATCGCAAGTGTAATTACGTATCGTTTAGAGTAGGGATCGGAGTGCGACTTGTCGATTCGTTCATAGAGCAAGAGGACAAGGGGAAGCAAGATCTGTTGCTTGTTAGCCTGTATCTTTGATATCGCAGCCTCACCCTGCAGCCTCGGTCTCCTTCGGATGTAATACCTCAATTTGACTCCACGAACATTGCACACTCCATATTATGGCCTGGGAGATGATGGTTCTCGCGATAATGCATACTACCAGAAGCACGAATCTCCCAGTCTGTCTCCCAACACGAAGGCGCAACGAGTTATAGCAAGATCTCCACGATCTTCTCACAGCTTTCCATATTCGCAACTTCACGAGCCTAGCAGCATGTACGTCCTTTTCTTCGTCTGATTCATTTAATTCGTATGTTTCGTATAATTCATTGGCGGTATTCAAGGGAAGATGATCGTCATGCTGGGCGGGCACTTGGGATCTTGCGCGGTCGCAAACATACCACAGCAGCCCAGAGAACCCCAGCACAAGGAGGGACACATGGATCGGGCGCTCTGCAAAACCAAGTAAGTTAACTGTACGCGACAGGCGAAGCAGAGAAGATATTACCAAGGGCCGAAGTAGTCTCGAACTTAATCGTGATCCAAATAATCGTCGCAGTGAGGTTACTACCAAGAAAGGTTAGGGTTAAGCCACACATCTGTAAGGAGCTGACTCACCAGATTGCCGCAAGCTGTAGAGTTTGTCCCCGCGCTATCATGATGTCCTCTCATGGTTTGGCGTGTATGCTTTCCTATTGCGATGCGACGAAGCAAGGCTACAAGAGCAACCTCATCTTATGCATTCAATAAGAAGCGAAATGCAAGCAGAAGCAGGAGCGGGCACAGCAGTCTTTCGCAGGGTTCTCAGCCGCAAACTTGTAGCCAACCTATCAGCGTCAGTATGGGATTCCATATTAATAAGAGCCATGTGCTCCATAAGCGAAAGCAATAAATACATAGGGCTACTAGCGCGACAGGAAAATCTTACACTAAACGCGGAATCTTCTTGTTTGTTTAAAGCTCATCTGAAAAAATATTGATTTTCAGCAACAGAGAAGAACGAGTTAACAGCAACCGAGACTGATCGAAATGCTTAATAATAAGCCGAGAAACATCTCAACTACAAAAACAAACGGCATATGAGAAGATCAAAACACCTAGTACATGAATACAAAACCTAAACTTAGACTCAAGCAAAAGAGCAAGGCATTTCCCGCCGAAGCAAGTGCAACGAAACAGTGCAGCGAAACAAAGTACGACATGACCGTCTCTTCAGACTAGGTGCTAAATTATAAGGGGAACATTCCAATAGCCAATAACATCGACCATAGAATAAATGACACCCCATCGATTACGAAAGGTGAAAGAAACGTGATCCAAGAATGAAAGAAAGAAGAAACCTCCTCTGCTCCCATCTCCCGTTTCGTTCCCACCATTCATCCCAATACCCCTCTAAAAAAAGGGGGAGATGACGACCCCCATCGCTCCTTCCGTTCCCCAAGCTTGAGGGAAATTGTAAAAAATATCCGCCCGACGAGAGGCTCGAACTCTCAACCTTGGGCTTATCTTTCATAGTAGATATAAAAGGCCCACGCGCTAACCAATTGTGCCAGCCGGGCCATTGGATGCACCTTTTCTGACTATTTTGAAGTATGAAGTTTTCATCTCTGGCGGACGTCGGAATTCAAAGTTTCACCGAGGTTCAACCTAGCGGTTTTCAGGACGGGAATTTAGGGTGGATTTTGAGGGAAATTAGCCGTTGAGCGTCTGTAGGCTCTGCGTTGCAGGTTCGCTGGGTTCTCATTACATTCACATCATTAATACAGCATGGGACTAGAAGTGCAGCGAGCTCTCAGGGTTTGCAGGTTTTACACTCATATGCTCAAAGCAACCAGGTATGCTATACTTAGTCAAGGCTAGGCAGGCGAAAGAAAAGGGACCGCTCTCGTGAAACGCCTTTGCATGTTATAAGAGTCTAATGCAAGTCTACGGAAAGGCTCCCTCAACCCAAGACTGGTCATTATCGCTGAGCTCCATCGTGTCTCATTACGAGGAGTCCAATGAAAGCCATGATGCCTCTTGTACACAAACAAAGTCTTCGTTGCTGCAGAGTCTTCATGATGCGGCATTGAAAACAACGGTGCCCGTGGTATCTGTTGTTCAAAGGAAGTAATCGGGTGTGCCTATTAGCGTTAGCATTGTTTCAATAAAAGGCCGAATCAGGGTCCTTACGTCGTGAAACCATAGGTTCGCCAGCTCTTGGGCAGGGGTCGAATTGTAAACTGGAACACTATCAGTAAACAGCGTCGCCGCGAAATACGCTCTACATACAAGGTGTATTTTAGATGCTCGTCAATCTCCATGATAGCTGCTTGATTACCACACCTGTAGCAGTAGTTTGGTGCTGGGAAAGTCAGCATTTCCACACGTGACTAATCTATTTGTTGCCTTACCTGAGAAGATTGTGACAACATTTCGATCTTGCGACCAATTATAACCCTCCATAACCAATTGATGGGCTCTCGCGACCAGAGTTAAGCCATTGTTATGGTTGAACGCCTCCGAGATGTCTTGTCCGAAGGTATAGCCTGCGCCTCGAGGCGATATTCCCCATCCACATCGGTCATCTGGATCTGACCAGAGGAGATCGCACATGGGACCTTCATGCGGCACTTCCTGTATACGGTCGAGAGCTCTAATGTTGTCAAGTGTATCAATACTTGGGGAGAGACCTCCGTGGAGGCAGAAGATTTGGTTGTCGATAAGCGCGGTAAGAGGAAGGTAGTCGAACAGATCGGTGAAATATTTCCATACGTTCGCGTTCCCGTACTTTCGCAGACACTCATCATAGAAGCCATAGACCTGAGTAATCTGGCGGGACTCGTGGTTACCGCGGAGGATGGTGATGCGTTGAGGATATCGGATTTTGAGTGCGACGAGGAGAGTGACGGTTTCGACTGAATAGTACCCTCGATCGACATAATCACCTAGCATCGTGGTTAGATCGTACTCTGTTGGGACTGGAAGAGGCTGTCGCACCCATGAAAAGGTAGTTTGTGTCTGGATTTGGACCACCAATTCTGAAAAGCTCCATCAAGTCGTGAAATTGTCCATGAATATCTCCGCATACTGTCACGGGGCATTTCTGGTGCATATTTTAGTACTCGAGGACGTGCAAGGCGGTTGGGTGATCTTACCACAGGCTGCACATTGGACTCGTCTTGCAATACCTCTCGCGCCTATGTATATAGTTAGCAAGTAATTGACGCGAACGTCGTCCACATGTTATGGAGATCTGCGATCACCGCGTACCTTCTCGCACAATCTTTGAACATCGACCTCGGCCAATTGCTTGCATTGCATGAGGGCTTCAATCCAACCATCTAGAGTTGGTATCGAAGCAGGTTCTGTAGCTGGCGACATCCTTGGGGGTTCTGGCGCCCTGCCCACATCTTCCATATTGGTATCCATGATGGAGGATGGCGAGGCTGTCGGTTGTGAAGGTGTTGATGGCGGGGAGGGAGCTCAAGCTTGGTTGACAAGGGCGGTCGCGATAGAAAGGCAAATCTGGGTTTTATTCTGTGATGATCGCGAGATTCGACTCATGAACTTCAGGATCTTTTGCGCAAGCAAACAAATGACAAGGAGTGGCTGGACTTGTTTGGGTTATCTGGAAGTGTTGATGGGTATGTGTAAGGGAGCAGGGGAGATCGACTTTAGTGCGGCTCACCTTGGCCTCGCTTATGGTACACGCTCCGACTAGGGAGTGTTAAGACGCCGCTTAAGAATTTGTGGTCACAATGAAAAGACATTAAAAAGGCATTAAAAATACAATGAAAAGACAACGAAAAGACTACGAAAAGACAATGAAAAGCCGGTCGTCATATTTGGCCGACCTGTGAAACTGATCTTGTCGTGTTGTGCATGTCTGTATTATCTAAGTGTTACGTGGTCTATGAATCAATGCTATGTTGAGGCTAGGCAATGCCCAATCCCTGTATCCCATTCCCATTCTGATCCATTAATGGATCTCGGCCGATGAGGCTCTTGAAATCTAAGCCTACTCCTGAGAGCATCTTTGCATGTTCACGAGCTTGATTCATGCACTCCGTCCAGACAGGTCCATCGCGCTCTGTACTACTGAGTTGCCTTGCAAGTATTGTGTTGAAGTCATCTACCTGCTCCTTCGCCCACTTCACGCAGGCGCTCATAAGCAAGGGCGGGAAGCAGGTTTGAAATGTGGAAACAGTGTTCCTGATGATAGTGAAGTATACAAAGGATAGCTCCCAGATATACTGGTGGAGATTGCCTTCAAATATGCATTGCCTAGAAACATTAGCAACGATCCTGTGAGAAGAACTGGCAGTAACCTTACCTTGAGCGCTTGTGAATAGTATTGCCTCTGGCTTCAAGATAAGCTTCTCTTGCACGATCCTCAAAGCCCAATCTTGCCAACCAGCTCACATTTCGCTTCGTTTTCTTAGGTTCATTATGCGTGTCTACGAGTTCTCTGGTTATAAGTCCGGCAAGCTTCGTCGCCCTCTCATCGGCCTTGAAACTAATGAAGTCTTGTGCAACGGCGTTGCTCTTCAAGCCTCTGGCCAATGCGTTGAGTTTGTCAACTCGCTGTACGGCATCGTCGAATTGTTGAAGGGCGATATCAATATCAAGCTCGTCCACTTGGCTCTCTACCCATCTCAAATTTTGCTGCTTCCCATCAACTTCAATGAGCATGTCTTTTATGTCAGTGAGAGTTTCGAGTAACTCGGTTTTCTTCAATAGCCCGGGATCGCGAGAAGCGAAATAGTTGATCGTCTCTTTGGCCTTATTATTCGATTCAAGCTCTGATCGGAGGCCCTTGCGAAGTTCCTCAACCATCCTTCTGAAGTTCATCATCAGGGATTGCTTGTCATTGTCACCCGACTTTTCAGTCTTGTAGGTGAAGGATTCTTGACCAACGCCCCGAATAGTAATTGCGTCAGCAACTTTATGTCTGCTGCTGCTTGAGTCGCTAGTCCCAGCGAGATCAAGAATTTCAATGTCCAGCAACGGCCAGCACCGATCTGCCACCAACTTGGATGGGGCTTGTCTCTGGTCTGCAGCACTTCCCTCCACTTTTCTCTTCTTTCGTGATGCCACTAGTAGGTGATCGTTCAATAGAAATATCTGCATTGCGCGCCTTGATTTCCACGTAGCACCGTCTAGTTCTATCCACAAGCCAGCATTTTGAACTACGTGACGACCAGGGAGAGAGGGAAGAAACTTTTGTGAACCCTCCACGTTTTTCCATAGGGCCTAAGAAGATTTAGCATACTGATTCACAAGTTGAGGACGCAGGTGGATGTACCTGAAGCTGTGAATTCCACATAGCAGTTCTATCTGCGACAGAACTCCTTTTGTCTCTCTTACTCAAGGTAGATGGGAAGCCAGAGTCGAAACCATCATTACCCGAGCCTTGCGAAGAGGCTGATCTAAGTGCTGTGGTGTTGGTTTTAAGCTCCGACATTAAATTTCTCAAAGCTCGCAATTCCCCCTTCAATTTCTCGGCTTCCTTGCTAATCTTGATGAACTGTGTCCGGTTCTGATACACGTTCTGTTGGAGATCAATTGAGGTTCGATTCCGCATCTTCTTCAAGGATTGCTGGTATTCATCAAGTTCCTGCTCTGAAGCATTGCCTAAAAGTCCAGCGATGTACTTGTCGGCCCGGAGAGTGGGGTCACGTAAAGCCTTGATGTCTACTGTCAGTCCAGGACCTCTTCCTGGCGAAGGAGCTCTTCCACGATCGTTCGACGGCGCATATTGGGCGGGAAGTGATGGGAGCGAAGGAATGGGAGGGGCAGAAGCATCGAAGTCGGTAGGTAGGTTATTGAAGCGTGTGGAGTATCTCCTTTTGACCAGATCAGATGTCTATAGTAAAGATTAGAGAAACTCAGGGAGAATGGGATGAGATTCTTGCCTTGCCGCTTGGTGGTGGTCGAGCTTGCTGACGAGCTTGAGGAGATTCAAATGAGGACTTGCCAGTGCTCCGTGGAGCACTTACAGCTTGTGGTATTGGGCCCGATATTTGCTGCGGCGCACTTATCGCTGGACGACCAGCTTTTCTTTTCGTCCTAAGGGAAATCCCCTTTGATTCCGACATTGTGATAGATGATGCCGCTAGAGGGCGTATGTGGTTGTTGCTCTTGGGGACTACGGAGTACTGTAACAAGGCAACGGATGCGACGCTAGTGCTCTTGTACGTACTGTACCCTTGCTCCCGCATCAAAATTCAAGGTGCTTCCTCGAGTTTACTTTATTTTCAGATCATCCCAAAGCCCCCAAAGCTCTCGCTCACCACCACAAGCTACATCGAGTTTCTATTCCTCCTATCCTACCACATTCGCGCATCAGCTTAGCTGCTCGCAGAATCAACATGCCTAATACCAGCACGCTTGTCGCCACTACTGTCGGCACCGTTGCGACAGGTTTTCTAGGTAAGACCCCAAGCTTGAAGCTATCCGAACGGTGCTAATGTTGGCTACAGCATAGTATGTACACCAGAAACTCACTCCGTATGCCATTGAAGAACTCGATGGAGGAGCTAACGATTGAAATACTCGGAATCTGAGTTGGGCTAAC